AATACTTGGAGAGAGCCTTCTAAAGATATAACGATTTTAAGATTGTATCTTTTTTTTTTTTTTTTACAGGTGCAGAATAAATGGAGTTTTTTTCTTTTGGTTCCCCCCCTCATTTTTTCCCCCTGTTGTTTGCAAAGTTGAATCTGGGGTCAGGAGTTCTAATTGTAACCTCAGACTGGAATTCCAGATGGTGCGCTCAGGACTGGAAGCAACTCTCAGTTCATCAATTTCATGGGCCTACGTATCTGCTCTGGCCACGGCCCGGCCTCTATCCCCACTGTGGCATTAATGCAGAACAAATTGAGACATATCCTCTATATAATTAGTTCCAGAATTTAAAAAGATTTACGGTATAATAATACAGGCAGCGCTGCGGAATCCTTTCATTGGGGACTCTCTGGGACCATCTCGCGGTGGCATCAGAACAGACGGGTAATCCTGGCGGTTCCAGGCCCTGTGGGCTGGGGGAGAGGGGAGATTTCTGCCTCGCGCACTCGGCAGCGCCCACCGGTCCTGGGCCGCCAAGCGGATTGGAGAATTGAGTTTGCACCATCGATGGGGGGCTTAGTCCAAAAGAGTTAATTTTAAAATGCAGAGAGGAAGCCGTGGGGCGACTATTAACAAAACTCCCTTTCTGAAGAGTTTTAATTTAAAGAAATGTTGCTGGGATTTCAGTCGTCTGCACGGGGCGAAACGCCAGCTTTAGCGGCTGTCGGGCGAGCAGGGGTAGGCAGATTCGGGAGTGGGTGGGCGGGGAGGGACCCGGGCTTCTGGTGCTGCGGGCGGAGGCCTGCTCGCTGGCCCCGGCTAGGCGGTGAGCGCCTTCTCCTCCCGGACAGCGTAGTACCGTTGGGCCACTCGCGGTGTCTGCTAGCCCAGGCCTGGATAAACGCCCATCTCTTGACAGAGCTCAGCGTTTCGGTGCGTTTATTCAATTGTGGGTAGCCTCGGGGTGACGCCGGGAGCGCAGTAGAGAATACTGGGGTCCCAGGGGCTGCTACTGCTAGGGGATCCTCACTGGGTTAAATGCTTTTGTACAAGCCAGGGTCGAATAGGGGGAGGAGGGAGCGGGAGTTAGAGGTCTTCACTGCCTCTTCCCACTCAGCCGCGATATTTTCATCTTGCGATAATCAAGTACCTGTATACCAAAGACACACAGGTTCCCAGACTGCCTCTCTCCATCCTTTACTCCTCACCAGATTCGCTGTAAAGAGGCAGGAGTAGGGGGTAGGGAAGCCCCTAACTGTGTTGAGACACCTGGATTTCAGCTTGGCTTTGCTGCTAATGTGTGTACTGAACAACAATAGTAACAAAGTGTGTAACATGTATGAGAGACTAGTTCAACATGTCCTTATGTCCCTCATGGCCCCATGAGGTGGGGGCTGAAGTCCTCATTCTGTTTTATCAGTAAGGAAACAGGCTCAGAAAGGCCACGGAAGTCGTGAAGGTTACAGCCTATGGTTACCTGGTGGAGCAGACCTTTCTCTGGTCACCAACTCCAGCCCTTAACCACTGCGCTCCACTTCTTCCCTCTATCTGGGCCTTGGGTTCCCCTCCGTTTACCAGGAGTTGAATTTACAGCTCAGCCACCTGATTCCGCGAACTCCTTTTTGCTACTGATCTGCTCCTTTTTGGTACAGGTCCCAGCGCTGATAAGGTGGGAAGGTGGGTGAGAGAGGGAGCAGTCTGGTCTCTGAGGCCCTCCTTCCCGTGGGCCTTCAGAGGTCCTCCAGCTGCTAGATGTGCAGAAGAGGCCTTACCTACCCCAGTGGGCCGAGGGTGGACCTTCCTCTAGGCTTGACAGTCTGCCTCTGTCCACCGTAGGGCTTCGGCCCTGGCCAGAGCAGTGGAAGAGACCACCTAGGTAAATGCAGAGTTCCCACAGAGAACTTTACCCAGTCGAGGGAAAAGTGGGGCGCCCTGCCACTGCACTACTTCGAGGCTTCAAAGTACAAGCTCTACAGAGCCTGGGCTCCCGCACAAGGGCAAGGAGAGGGCTTTCAGGGACCTCTCCCACTGCGCTGCTCTCCTCTGCTTCGCCCGGGGTTGGTGCGCTTTTGCCGCTGAAGACTAAGAGGTCTAAATGGGGGGTGGGGGTTGGGACGGGGTAGCAGGGTTGAAATGAGGGGCGCAAGTCTCCTTTTCCCTACTTCTCCTACAACAGGCAACCCAAGGAGGAGGAGAAGTTTTAAATAGCTACTTCTCTTATCTCTCCCATCACCCCATCCCCAGCAACCCCCTCCCAACCAAACCTGAAAACAGAAAAGTTACACAAATTTGCCCTATGAGATTCAAAACCCACAAAAGCTCACTTTAAACCACCCTTCCATCCCCACCCAACCTCCCCAAAAAATCGTCAAACAATCTCCATCTTTTCGTTTGAAAATGGAAGTGTCTGACTTTTATAAAGGGCTCTCCTTCCCACATTGCTGAGTGGGACCTAGTGAAGAAAATCGACTTCAGGAAGAAGCAGTGTAGTCTGAGACAAGGGTCTGGATTGTTCTACCGGCAACTTGATTTGAGAAGTTTTGTCTCGTGGAGCTTTTTCCCACCAAAAAAAAAAAAAAAGACAAAACATATATGCTCTCTGCATGCTCTCTAGCCCCACTGCAGGTTAGAGATGAAACGCAAGGGAAAAGGGTGGGCTGCCAGCGAACAATCTAGACCAGGAAGGAGCTGGCTTCTTTACATCCTTTTCATTAAAAAAAAAAAAAAAAAGGTTCTGCGTAGAGACGAGGTAAAAGGCACCAAAAATAGTTCAGAGAGGCACTGACAATTGTGGTCTGGGGTGCAAATGGGTAGTTTTTTTGTTTGTTTGTTTTTCGGTCTTCTGCGCTTCTAAGATGAGCGACCCCAAGAGGAGGAAACTGCACTTTGCCTGTTGGTTTTGATCCTACAGTGGATCCGTTCGTTTGCTCAGTGCAATTAAGACTAAAAGCAAAGCGTAAGAAATGTAGAATAAGTCTTTTTCAACACTCGGTTTCGTTGTAAAACTGCAACTATGTTGGTTGTTGCTTGATGCTGGCAAGGTTGGAAAGCTGCAAGCCGCCTCTCTCCAAGGCCTGTGGCTACCTGTTGCTTCCTGACCGGCGCTCGAGGCGGTCCCAGGCTGCGCCGTCGCCGCTGTCCCCTGCCTTTCTTGGGCATGCACCACTGAAGCGCACTCCAACGTGGGTTCCCTGCGCTTCTCTTTACCTATCCGTTTCCCATTTCTGAATAGATCGTAACTACTTTGGAAAAACCAAAAACTAAACAAGACCTCGCAACACCTGAGTGGGGCACTGGGCTCCCGAAGAGTGACTGCAAGGAGGGAGAGAGTCCGATTTGGTAATTTCAAGTTCTTGGAGCTGCCAACGGTAGCGTTGGATCGTGGACTGCTAACTGGCTTGCTCCTCCTGGCCACTGTGAATCCGCAATATTACTCTATCGTGAGCGAAAGTAAAAAGCGGCTCCAGGATTCTCTTCCTAAGACATCAAGGGAGACCGCTATCCTCGGACTTCACGTCCAAACCCTCCCCGCCACTCCTCCCCCAAAGTGGACTCCAGGAATATATATGCAGCCTCTGGGCGTTTCCGAAAGGTTCTTGTCCCTCCCAAAATAGCCGTGGTTTTCCCGGCTTCTTGTCAGATACTTCTCGGAGAGATTGAACACCCCAGACCCAGACTTTAGATACGCGGCAACCGCCCTCCTCTGGGCGCAAACCTCACCGAGTTATGGACCATGAGACGGTCGAAATCTTGGTTAATCACAACTGATGCAACCCTGCAGGTCACCCACGTTTGCCTTGAATCTGACCTCCGTAATTCACAAGGGGCTACCTGTCTCCCCGCTGACCCCAACGGGGCTTATGACCACAACTTCGGCCAGACAGCTTTAGAAACAAGAGGCGGAATTGCGGACTCAGAGACGGAATTCATATGTGTGAAGTCCAAGAAAGTTATCTGCTCTTTCCTGAAGTTCCCGCCTGGTGGATCCATCCACCTGCCCCTCCTTTCAACCCGCCCTCTCGATTTGCAATCCCATCTTGACCCCTTTCTCACACGTGGCAGAGGGGACATTGACTGCTCACCTGGAAACACCGTGGAGCCTCGAGGCGCCCACACCCGCAAAAGCTGAGAACGAGAGGTGGGGGGAGGGTTGTCTCCCCCAGCCCAGCGGAGAGCGCGTGGCGGGTAAACTGGGAGGGTGTCTCCGACCCGGACGTTCCCTCAGGCCCGCCCCCAACCTCCGCAGCTCGGGCGCCCCCCGGGAGCTGCGTGCGACGCCAGGCCGGGCTTGGCCGCGGGTGTGAATGGAGCGGCCGAGACTCCTGGCTCCTCCTCCTCTTCCCTCGCCGCCGGCCCCTCTTATTTGAGCTTTGGGAAGCTGGGGGCAGCCAGGCAGCTGGGGTAAGGAGTTCAAGGCAGCGCCCACACTCGTGGACTCTCC